TCACCGCATGAGCCCACCTCGCTTTGTGCGCCAATTTCAGCCTCAAGAGTTGGTCAGTGCTCACCCCTCGCTCACTTTCAGACTTCAATCCCGACAACAACAACAACATCACTCCATCAATCCATCATCCTTGAGTGGTCCCAATGCTGCATTTTCATTCTGGATAATACTAATCCTATATGTAATTGATATCTAACAGTTATTAACATTGATCTTGCTTTTCTTTTTTTGTTTTTTTAGTTTTGAGCGCGCGTATTTGATATCGCCAACGTGACACCATTTCGACCCTGTCCTTCCTCGCCAGTGTCCCCAACACCTGACACCTCTCACCCCTCCATAGGCCGAATATGTACAATCGAGCGATGGTTCCGGCGCCGAATCCGCGTCTTACAGAGCTCTTTGACCAGCTGCGTCAAGAGTATGAGAATCAATCTCGGAGCCATGGAGAATGCGAGCACCAATGTACGCAGACCCGCGAAGCACATCAGCCATATACCTTTTTCAGATCCCGTTGTGAACCCAGGACTGCAGTAATGGATGAGCATGGCTTTTTGGCGCATTCGCTCTACTACCATACTGCTATGGGACACAACATGGTTGAAGCTTTCTGGTACACTTGACTGACTCTGCGCATTAGTGACCGGGCAGCTGCAAGAGATGGAAATGATTCGCCAGAGAGTAACCCAGCTGGAGCAGGCGCATATAGACATGAAACAAAAGTATGTTGTTCTAAAGCAGACTCTAAACGGCATATCATTCGCTTTGAATCCTGGCTGATGTCTTCTTCTCTTTTTTTCTCTCTGGTCTAAACAGATACGAGGCCGAGATCCGCGGTCTACGAATGGAACTAGAGTCCCGTGGTATCCATCTCCCTCCTTCACACGTTGGTGGACCTCCAACCCACGGCGGGCTCTCCCAGGCGCCGCCGCCTGCCTTAGGCCACGGCCCTAGCAATCTGTTTGGTGGGATCATTGCAAATCAAGGCGGTGGGCCACCTGCTCTAGCTCCTCCACCTCCTCAGGACCAACAGCAACCACCCCAACACTCCCTGCAGCCCCCGGCCTCCGGCGCACAAGGACCACCCCAACCACAACAGGGCGCGTTTGGAGGCTATCAGCCGAATTCTGCGGTGAACGGTACTTATTTCCAGAGAATGCCTATGTGACTTCTTGGGTCTTCTTATCGCGCTGATTCTGATCATTGTTTTCATGAACTGCAGGTTATGGACCGCCTCCACCCGCTCCAACCTCTTCCCCTGGCCCTGGAAAAGGACGCGCGAACCGAGCTCCTCCTGGACCAGCCACTCCCCAGCAGAATCAGCCGGTTGCTTATGCTGATCCCAGAGAATCTCCACAGATTCCACAGCCCACTCCTGGACAGCCAATTCCCTACCGTGTCGGAAACGCCCTCGGGGAATTGGAACCCGACAAGCTCCCTCCAACCCAAAAGAAAGAAGGCACTGATTGGTACGCGGTGTTCAATCCTGAGATTCCTCGTGTGCTGGATGTCGAGCTGGTACACACCTTGTCCCACAACAGTGTTGTTTGCTGCGTCAAATTCAGTTCCGATGGGAAATACGTCGCAACAGGTTGCAATCGGTCTGCTCAAATTTTCGACGTTGCATCTGGTCAATTGGTTACGACATTGCAAGATGATACTGCGAACAAAGAGGGTGATCTTTACATTCGAAGTGTTTGCTTCAGTCCGGACGGAAAATTCCTGGCTACCGGTGCTGAAGATAGGCAAATCAGGGTATGGAGAATTGAATTTGGTATCTCATGTGTTTTGTGAACTACGCTTATCATAATGTTTTTTTAATGCAGGTATGGGATATCGCGAACCGGAAAATCAGACATATTTTTGCCGGCCACGAAAACGATATCTACTCTCTCGACTACTCTCGCAATGGTCGATATATTGCGTCCGGCAGTGGTGACAAGACCGTGCGAATGTGGGACGTTTACGATGGAAAGCAGGAGCTCATACTGAGCATCGAGGATGGCGTCACAACGGTTGCTATTTCTCCCGATGGCCGATACGTTGCTGCCGGCTCTCTTGATAGGAGTGTCAGAGTGTGGGATACCACAACTGGATACCTCGTAGAGCGACTAGAAAGCCCGGATGGACATCGAGACAGCGTCTACTCAGTTGCATTCGCACCCAACGGACGAGACCTCGTTAGCGGCAGTTTAGACAAGACCATTAAGATGTGGGAGCTGACTCCCCCTCGCGGTATCATGGCCGGCAGCGGTCCAAAAGGTGGCAAGTGTGTTCGTACATTTGAAGGACATAAGGTAGGTGTCATACGGGATACCCTTTCTTGGCAAACGGAAGATCTCCTTATACTTACACTCATTCACACAGGACTTTGTTCTGAGCGTTTGTTTCACACCAGATGGACACTGGGTTCTCAGTGGCTCTAAGGACAGAGGTGTGCAGTTTTGGGATGTTATGACTGGCCATGCTCAAATGATGCTCCAAGGACACAGAAACTCCGGTATGCGCTCTCCCGACCTTATATGGCTGTCCTGTGGCTGATATACTCTCTAGTCATCTCCGTTGCGCCAAGTCCAACAGGCCAGCTCTTCGCGACAGGAAGTGGTGACTGTCGCGCGAAAATCTGGAGGTGAGCTACCTTTTAGCCTTCCTTTTCTACCTCTCTTTATCTTCCGTGTATCTCTTGTTGTTTCCAATCCTAACAGCATAATTTCTGCAGTTATGGTCCTTGGGGTCGTCGGTAAACAAATCAAACCTCATGGATTCAGTCACGTCTTCTTCCCAAATGTTTTCTTGAGATAAACTTGAAAGGAAGTTGGATTTTTATGACCTTTGTATTCATATCCTTGTTACTTTGCCGATCCTTGGCCTTGTTTCCCGGTCGCAGCCCAAATGTGCCTATGAACAATGATAACTTGCTTTGGTATGGTTAAAACAAAACAAAGATGAGCACGGATGGGGGGACTGTATGTATGGCGAATGATGGAGGTGAATAATGGGCTTTTACTAGCTTTCTCTTTTATTGCTTTATGTGTATGTTCTGGATGCATACACACCTTTCTTTTCTTGTCTTGGAACTATTACTTGAGTGTTTTCGTCTCTTTGTATGCACCAGGTACTGTCCCTTTTTTCAGTTTACACGGGCTGTCCATTGTGTGTTGAATAATTCTTATGCTGCTGTCCTTCAAATGTTTCCAGTGTCCATTCAACCATACTCACTTTTCTTTGTTTGGTTATAATGTGCCTTCTGGAGGACCAGGAAAAATTGTTTATGAGGTTGGTCTTTGAGAAATAATAGTAGATGAACGGAGTGTGCTTCATGCTGCGTTTCAAGCATGCTCTCTTCACTATTTCACCCTAATCTACTCTGTATTACGTAGCATATTTGAATAGATAAGCATTGTCATAACAGCAAACCCTGTTTAAGCTATTACTTGATATGAAAACTGCACCAAGTTAATCCATCTGCTCCTTGATGAGCTTGAAATAACCACCAAATGCCAAGCCTGCTCCTTTGGGTCCGGCTGTACAATTGCATCTCCTGTGGTCATCTCCCACCCGTAAATATCGACATAATTCCCGACAGCTCGATCACACATTAGGCCATCCGCCCAAATTTGGCTCTACACAAAGGGGAGAGTTTGATAAATGCGCAACAGTGGGCAAGGAAAGGGATTGCGTCTATTTCCAACCAATTGTTGCAACCGCCATGCTCATGTCTGACGCCTTAAGGGTAAAAAAACCCCGCCCTCTGGAAGAAGAAAAAAAATGAATTGCCCTTTTTTGAAGAGGGTGAATGTTGATAAGAGTGAGATTCGAACTCACGCAGGGTTTCCCCTACCAGGACCTTAACCTGGCGCCTTGGACCGCTCGGCCATCTTACCGGTGATGGAGAGGTAGTTCCACTCGCGGGCGTAAAGTGCTGATTGTGGATGGTCATGATCTAGAGGGTCGATGTGTCTTCCAAGAGGGTCAATCGCTGGGGCGATATTGCTCACGGGATCCACTCTGTAGAGAAAATTATCATGATGTGCCTTGTGAAGATATACAGGGCAGAATATGGTTATTCTGGGTTCAGGTCAGGATAATATCAGTTGCCGCCCATGGTGGATATGATGTGCAGAATATGATAAAGCTCGTCCAATGGTGAGAGAGCCTGTACACTCTCTGATCTGTTTTCGCTGCTATGGCCAAGCGGCAATGGAATCCAACACTGCTTGTCGGGTAACTAATTCCCTGTGGAGGAAATCGATCACCCAAACACCCTTACAAAAACCTGCGTTCGCTTGGGCTCACTGCGTCCTAAACTTTTCCGGGCTATTTCATTCTTTTTAAATGATTTGTCTGCTGTGAATCCTCGCTGCTTATGCCCCAATGGACCTGCTCCAGATTGCTTGACTACTCTTTGGCGTATACTGAAATCTGGGGAAAGGCAGTGGGGAAGAGACGAGAAAATTCACAACAGATGATCTCTTTTTGTCTTATTTACATTTGTAAATGTCTGCTGACCCAGGCCTCTGCTCCAGGTTTCTTCAAGGACAATGAAGTCCATATTGGCGCACTTTTATGCAGCAGGGCACTCTTGCTACAAGAAGCATAAGTGGTAACCGAGAATTTAAACACTTTTCCAGATATTTCATCAACAAGGCCAGGTACATGATTGTGGCTATTTCTCCCTTTCAGTAACTATTCATACTACAATATCCCCCATCAAGTACTGACAGGCTGATTCTAAGTATTGATTTTGTGTTCAGATTTACATTGCGCAGGTATCGCCGATTCGCCGCTCACCAGCTTATTATTGTGTTCTCTTTTTTGGAACTCGGTTATTCCACTGATTAAAGCGTCAGAGATACCTATCTTTTAGAGTAAATCATGAGATACACGATAGTTGGCCGGAAAATAAGAGTCAAAGACGACGGGAAAAATCGAGCATGCTCCCGCTATGTGCCCCAGAAGATGTGAAGAGGTGACTTGCCTGTGATAACGGCAGCAGCCCGCGATCAAGTCGATGCACCTCTGTGGTAATCCCTGGTGCAATAGTAATACCCAGCCCATAGAGCAGAGCAGTCGTCTTTCACCGCCGGATTCCACGTTATGAAGTACCACACGCTCAGCCATCCAAACTTTTCGGCAATGAAAAGCAGCAAGAGTCGCCTGGTTCGGCCCTGTAGAACTGGATGCACGTATCAACCATTCTTTCCTGGATCAGAGAAGGCGTGGGAACGGGTATCGACAACTCTTCTACATAAATGCAGTACGAATTTTCAACCCGAATGCCACTGCAATCCTCCATGCTAAGATTCTATGGTTTTGTCAGCATATTTGCCAATGACCAGAAGGCAGGATTCTCACCTACCCTGGCCACAAATTAGTCGTGAGTGAGCTCCCATTGCTCTTCAAAGTATGCACAGGTGAAAATCTCATCTTCAGCAGTACTGTGCCAACCGCAATCTGGCGTCTTCCCGGGTTCACCGGTCCATCAAAGCCCTGTCGTTTCATGACATTATCCCCGCCAAGCGGGGTCGCAATGACTGCGCTGGCAAAAAGTGCGTATAACAAGCTACACATGGTGGCGATTTATCAACATGGAACTTGGATACAAGATCACCACTTGACCCTCGATCCAGAGAGGACAGCAAATCTCCCCGCCTTTATTAAAAGTGGAAAGCAAATCGACTCCCAGCTATCTCACATTCTGTTGGATTATAGCAACAGAACGGGCCAGCAAATCCACCCCCGCCCACTATGTCTTGCCAAAATCGGACGGAGCATTGGAATACTGAACCAGTCGGCATCGGGAGGTTGCAAGTCTCTCTTCCAAGGGCCAATCACTTCTGGGAGAAGCCATCCTTAACTGTTAGAAATTGGAAGCAATGCTTACCTTGGTGTATGAAGGGGTTTGAAAATGAACAAACACATAGGAAAACAGGGATGTTCACAAACAAAAGAAGCTGAATTTGTGATTGCAATGATCCATATGGAAACTAAAAGGCTTCTGACATCGACCCCCAATCTCTAGTATGGTCATTGAAAGAGGCCCAGAGATATCCCCCAAGCAAATTCCGGTAAAACATTCTCTAGCTTGGTTCTTTTTGACTGATGGAGTATTTCTCTTGAATCTCAGCACAATAAGTCGGGATCTGAAGACCTTCTAAGCAATTAGAGTCTCACCGATACATGTAAGCAGCCGAGCCCCATTTAGTCTCCTCTTGGGAATGATTCAGGAGCTCATTGATGAGGATAGGTACGGATGAGTCCTTTGCTTCTTACGAAGTATTTAAAGATATGAAGCATAGGCCGACTGGGTGGCGGAAGAAGAGAAATTGTTTTTATAGGTCTCAACTTTTGGCTTTCGAAAGTTGCATCTGGAACCGGGATAGAACCGAATGCAAAGAGAAATAAAAGTCAAGGACGCGAGAAAAGAAGCGATAAAGAAAAAAAGAAGGATGATTGCTATAGAGTCACATCTAGGGGTCTAACAGTGACAAAAAATCAATAGCAGGTGCGGAATGATCTGTTCCGGTATCATCCATAATGGGCCCGCGAATGCGACCACGGTAGGATTATTCCGGTATGTCATTCCTTCACGATAACTGGGTTCAAAATCATGACTGACCTGTTCCTTAGTCAAGGGCGTCTTAAAATTCAATCTTCAAGGGTTTTCTATATGGGTTTTAGGTATTACGGTCAGGAATACCATCTCGGAGCCAAGTTGTTTCCTTTTGGAACTAAAGACCAGGGAGTCTCAAATATAAGGTGTTATGGGACGAAATGGTGAGCTGATCCGGGGGGGGGGGGGTTATTCTTTCTTGCAAACTGACTTTTAACTGTGCTTGAAGTCCTGACTGGAGTTGCAAAGACGGATACGGTAGAGTCACATCACGGAGCTTAGAGGAAGCTCGTCTCCTTCCGAATCCTTCGCGGACCACAATTAACATTTGCCGTTGGATTGGAAACAGTGCGTGCGCTGATGCGAAGTGCGCTCAATATAACGTTGCACTTCTTACCAACGAATGCGGTGACACGATCCCACGTTATCACGGTCAGTTTCTGCGATAGCTTCAAGCGTCTAGAATACAATGATTTAATCGCGGTACTAACGGCTTTCAGGATACCGTGACAAGACGAATTGGCATACGGTCAGAAGACATCTGAAGAAGGAGCCAAAATGCGATAACTCTTTATTCGAGCCCGATTCTGGGCCTTGCGCCGAACCTGATTTCGTCCAATGGAGCAACCAAAAACTCTCGTGTAAAGGGCTGCATCGGCCCCAATCACGCGGAGGGAGGCGTCAATACCGTGTCAAGTTGAAAGGTCTCGCGCACTTCCTATCCCCGGCGCGCCCTTACGCCAGCCGGAGCATGTTCTTTCGCAGTGATCGCCATTGGCCATACCAACTGTTTCGCTACTACCGACTTAGAAACCCTCACTGTGTGTTCACTGGTGTTAGTAGCGACACGATCGACCGTCACAATATCCTAGGTACCTTACCAATCGAAGCCGAAACCGAGCATCTGGTGCCTGTGAGTTTTGGGTCCCGGGATCAATATGTCTGTTAGCTTATTCCACCTTAGCTTTCTTTGCATACCCGATTTATTGAAGTAGCGAACACAGGTTGGCTTCGAGGTAGTAGGAGAGGATCTAGAGCGACACGAGCACCGCCAGTTGACTCAGCAGCGCTGAAGAATCTTTACTATGGCGCCAACACGCTGCGTGCAGGTCTGAACCGCGTAGCACGATTCAGTCCGAATTTAAGATCCCCTGTCGATCGTGTATGGGAAGCATTCGGGTCGACGACTAATCGAGAGAATATGGTTATGACGCAAAGGCAAATTAACGCCCAGAAACAGACGGTGTTTGACATTCAAAGGAGATGTAGCGAAAGCCAGTGGCATAGGTGGCTTCGACTGCTCATCGAAGGTGATCGCACTATCACTCAAGAACTATTGGGCAATTTGCGGATGGTAAGTACCTTGAGATTGGTGGTTGGTTTTCCTCATCCCTAGTAAAGGGCATCCTTTTCCTAAGAGAATTAAAGTTAACAAACATTATAATGACCCAAGCAGGTACTATCCGTCTTCCGGTACCATCAAATAGGAGATGTTGCGAAACGTACCCAGCGTACTCGGGACATGATTCGAGCCCAATATAAGCTCATTGGACGAGAACATCAATCACTGCAACATCTGGCAGATCACTGGAGTGAGTTCTATGATGACTATATGACCGAGATCGAAGAACAGAGCCGAGACTATCTCATTGATCGCATTAATATGACGCGAGATGCCCTCCGTGGACTCTTGAGCAGGCATCATGTCGCTGTGCGAAGGGCCCTTAACCTGCTAGAGGATGACGTTAAATCGGGAGTCTTGCTACCGAGATAACGACATTGGAAGTACCTGCAAGCTAACCCCAGGACATTAACTTCTCTCCCTGATGCGGTGGTCTGACTAAAAGGTTGCTCAAATCCCCCGAACACCTCGCAAACCAAATTAACGTGAGAAAACCACTTATTTGTGCCCTGCAGATTTCTAATAGCGAACATAGATGGAGTCTGAACGGCAGGTCCAGCCCGCAGTTAGAATTCACCCAATGATTCCTATGAGCCATCATTCTGTGAACACTAAGCTCTATAACAAATTACAATAGGTCAACATGGTCGTTTAGACCAGTCGAAAGAATGAGAGTAATAAAGTACATCTCCGCTGCCTCTTTGGCTATATATCTGAGGTTATTACAGCCTCAGGCTGGGAATAGATCATGCCTAATGGAACCTATCGTCTCCAGTTAGTGATAATGCCTCCCGAAGGACCCTTTGGAGAAGCAGTCATAGGTAATAGAGAGCCATATTGAATGATACTTGGAGACACGAGACGAGAGAAGAATTGCAAGGGCAAAGTTGCTACGACTCGGTGAACCCCTTCAGGGGCCTCCAATGAGGCTCTTGCATTAACATTAAATGCCATAGCTTTGCCTTGCGATCGATTCACAATTAAACCCGCTCAAAGCATGTTTTCGAAGACCGACGGCCGATAACATTTGAAATCTAGGCGACGCGCAAATCCATCACTGGACGTAATCTCGTGACTGTCTCTTAATGCATGTGGGCTCCTGAAGCTTGCCTGCAGAGTATGTGATCCAATCAATCGATGTTTTTCTGTAGCATCATTGACTCTAGCAGTTTATATATGTGGGACAGTCACAACTTTGCCTGCTATAGCACTGGTCCTGTACATAATGTAAGCGCTGCAGGGATTACTGCTTGGTTGACTTGGAGACTGCAGCTGACTGGGCCATGACATTTGTCACAATCAAAGCTATAAATCAAATTACTGACCGGCGAGGACATCCAAAAAGGACTTGTCATCCGTTGTGGAGACCTCGGCTCCATCGTTATGGAGCGTTAGGGAACAAATACTTGATAAATGAATTTTTATCTTATGGACGATAAAGCCTATTGCTGGTCGTTGACCGGGTATAAATCAAACCCTTGCATATCGCGCACAACGGCCTATTAAGGAGTACAGTATGTCGTCGTCATAGTAAAATTTTGGACATCGAGAGTGGAAGCAGGACCAGAAGCATACCGCACTCTTTCTCTTGCTCAAAGGTATAAAAGGCAGGGCATAGAGACAGCCAGCTTGTATACGCACGGGAACTTCAGTGGGATATTGCCGTGTGGAAATACAATCCAAAAGTCCAGGCTTTGAGCCCTCCATGAAGTTCCGGTTCAGCATTCCGCGGAGGTGGGATGCCTCAGTCATTATAACTCTTGGCTCTTCGGGTATTGAACGGTTCGCAGTTGCCTGAGATGCAATTTCCCAAATATGGGATCGTGGAACGTGAAATCTGAGTAGAAAGGCCACCGGATGACTGGGCGGGATAGAAATTAACGGGAACCACAGCAAAGCAATTCTGTGTCACTGAGAGAACCAAAGGAAAAGATGCCAGAATTCCGCTGATCAGATACAAATTGAAACGGACAAGAGAGGACAAAGAGAGGCAAGAGGCCGCGTTTCAATGCTAAGCTACCCATTCACCATATACGGGTTTTAGAGGTAAAAGCCAAGAAGAGTGATTTTATAAGTCGGCAAAGAATATCGAGAAGACAACTTAGATGTTCTCCGCATGGAGTGCTCAGCATATCGTCCTTTCTCTCATGAAGAGAGCCCAAACTGTGCGCCTTGAAATTTGTCGCATCGGTGCTTAGTCACTTGCACGATCACACAGTCATGTGTCTCAGAAGCTGCATTAATTTTAGGAAATTTTGAATGGTTTATTTGGAATATTGTCACAAATGACGAAGACGAACGAATCCTTGTGCAATCCTGCAGTCTGCGCTTGCTTTGACTCGATCCTGGAGTGGCTCTTGACACAGAAGGGACAATGCATGACCTCGTCAACTCTGAACATGGTGGCTGCAGGAAATATTGGAACGCGTATGTACAGTACCTTGCACTGTGGGACAAGCTGAGAGAAGGATCATGCAGTGTACTCTGGGTCCCGTACGCCCCATGTTCTTCATTATCCAGTAAAGGCAAATCCAGGGTAATCTTTGGTTCGCGGGTTCTTCATGCGCACCAAGGGTCGAGAACCCGATGTGGGTTCTCCCGGGGCAAAATAGTCCTGGGAAATGAAGCGAAGAGAGCTTCAGCCTTTATCTGCCAAAACACCCGGGAAGTTGGCCTTGCTACCTTTAGCTTGCATTTTGGCGGCCGCGTGGTCAAAGTGTCGCTTCCCGGGTAACTAGGATAAAGCCCAAAGGTCCAGGACCAGCCAGGAGGCAGTAATTACCCGGTTTGGTCCCTGTTAACCGACTTGCTGCTAAGAATAACAATTCTCTTCAAATCTCAAACAACAATAACCCACTTGGTGGGCATATCTCGTATGCATGGGGTGACAAGGAACGGCTTTTGTTGCTGTATCCCCTCACGGTATCAAGAGCAACCAGCAGGGATGAAAATTGTGAAGCTGAATTCGCGATGAGTGGAGGGGCCCTGGGAGAAGCAAGGCAGAAAAGCAGGGACCATGGGTTTAAGAAAAGCAGCAAAATTAGAAAACTGAACAAGTTTTTAAAAATAAGCCGGGAAAGGCCCAAAAGAAGAAAAATCGCTCCCACTGTCCAGGAAGCCGGGAACTGGGGAAATGACACGTTTTACTGCAAAGCTAGGGGGACGTCGGGTTGTTTTGACATGGGCCACGTTGGTAATCTGGCGGTGACGAGAATATGATATGCAAATAATCCTGGGTATATGTACTGGAATGCGCTGGTCCATAATCTCCAACTCGGGCTAGTCGTGAAGAAAACTAAAATTCCCGCTCTGTCGGTGAAAGGTGCGGAAGGAAAACGGATTGATTGCCGACGATGGCTTTCGCTGCGCGAAATCAAAGCCCAATCGACGAGAAGAAAGATTTTACTGTCCGAGGATGGAGTCTTTTACGATTTAACCAATTCGTTTCAGAAGCGGGCGATATTTCGTGTCCCTGGGGCAAAAATAAATAAATAAAGGGAAAAGGGAAAAAAAAAAAAAAAAAGGAAAAAAAGAGAGAAAGAAAAAAGAAAACAAATTTGGCGCTGCAGCCACCCGTTCGTCGAAGTGCTGGCTTGTGCTATCTTGCGAATCGACACCTGCTTGTCCTCGCTCGGTTAGGAGCGTCCTTAAGAAAACGAACCGGCTCAGGCAACAAGGTTGACCGATCGTGCTCGCTTCATTTTCTGGAGGGGATGATCCTTGAACTAGGCATAACGAAGAAGAGCGTGAGTAAATGCGATGTGTAGGTTTTTCCACTTGAGGCACTGAACTTTCGTTGAAGCCCGCTGCGGGCGTTCGAAGGGCTTTTCGCCAGCTGATGAACTTGATCGAGAGTATCAATACCATGCTTGCTTTTTGTTTCTGGACCCATCGTCTCGACTGATGAGATCGATAAGATTGACAAATGTTTTAAGCTTTTCTTAGAGGGGAACGGGGTTTGGTCACGCGGGACTCCAAGACAAGTTGCGCTCAGAACTGACTCGATATCAGCGAAACAGGCTGCAAAGGATCTCTGTCTGAACTGTGCTTTGTTACATGGTACCCTTGCTTGGCCGACTGCTTCCGCATTTGGCGCTGTCTAATCATCAACAGCCAGGGTGTCGAATGACAGCGAAGTAGTATGGGTGATGCGAAGAAAAACTTTGCAGGAGGTTTTCTTCCCCTACAGAGAACCGACCCGTGCGCAGAGGTCGAAACAGGACTCTATCAGGTTGCGCCAAAACGGCATAAGAGGTCAATTCCCCTGCTTCATGGGTGCCGGCAGCGAAAGTGCTCTGTATCATATGAATGACCCGCTGTGTAACTTGTAGAATGCATCATACATCTCCTGTCGTCGTACTCCGTAATGATTGTCGCAATTTGAAATTAATTTTTCCCACGATTTCATCCTTTCTGTCTGCCTTATGATGGTTTGATGCGAGAAATAATGATAAGGCGAACTCCGTATTCCACTTTTCTATCCATCGGGCGCTTTGTCTCCGAGAATCACGATAATTTTGATTCCAGGAGCGGCGCTCCGGCTTGCAGATTAAACCCTAAGTATTGATTATGCTTTCGGACTACGGAGTACTAACAATAAAATGTGTCGAGTTCTGTAAGCGATACCGCACCGAGCGTTTGCTCCTCTCTCTTCCCCGCGAGTCCGACGGGCCAAGCTAGCCTCCATAGGAAAAGCTGAAACACCAAGGGCCCATGCTGAGGAGCCTGCAGGTTGCTATTTGAGGGGAACGGGGACCTATCCAGAGACGCCGTTGGGATTATATCATCATTAGTTATGAGGCGAGCACAAGTCACGACACCGCATCGGGAAGAGGATGTTCAAGTTTATCATCGGAAGTAAGGATTTGACTGACCAGGGATGTGTCTGAGTTAAGATCGGTTCTTTCGGGATTATTGAAATACGAAAATGATGGGAAACCCACGAGTCTGGTTGTTTGGCTGGGATCTTAGACTACCCGCTCAAGGCCAACATTTTGCTTTTTCCCGTGAGGACTTTTGTTTTTGAGGCTTCCTTTTTTGGGAATCTCCACGCGATCCATGTTCGGGTCTTTCATATTTGCAAACTTGCAGGCTTTGTCGCGTCAGTTGAGAGAAAAAGTCTGGCCAAGCACCCTCAAAGGCTCACATCACCTGGCTCCCAAGACAATAGTGAGCTTGTAAGACTTTAGGAGTTGATAGCCTGGCTGATGCGAGGACGCTCATTGATCAATATGCTGTGCAAACTCCGGAGGAGACGGAATGGACTGCAGTTCGGGTCCCCTGGGCAGCGACAATGACACGCATCCCGATGGCTGTCGGCGATTGAGCCGCAACGCGAGTGGTGATGAATAATAAGGCCTTCGTCTTGGCAGTGAACCAACGTCGACTCTTCTTTTTTCTCAACCGCCTTTTGAGGAATGTGGCGGACGAGCAGCGCATTACCACCGCGGGATCGTCCTTGATAGCTGATGTATCGCAAAACTCTCTTTGCGCTGGGCTGTTGCGGATTGGCCGAGCATGGGATGTGCGGTCCCGGCTGAGGTCCCGGTCTTTGGTCAGTCACGGCATCCTTGCAGCGCCCAGCTCAGACTAACAAGGGTTCAAGTCACACACTTGCACAAGCTGCTGTGAATATTCCTCTCTCCACACAGACCGGATGTCATTCTGCCCTTCCGCGATTGGTCGGGTGCCTCGTGCTCTCCAGGTTTGCCCACACCCAGCTGTGCCCATTTTGCTGGAGGTCTTTTTCGATGATCAGATCAACACGCAATTCTTCACCCAATCGCCGCTGTCGAGTCTGCGGCTAAGACCAATAACTTCACTCCTGGCGACTATCCCTCAGTTTTCATCCCGTGAACAAGCACCAAGATCGGATCACAAATCTCATCACCATCATCATACCTGTAATCCTGTAATCAACCTTTCCCATTCACCCTGCAAATGCAAAAAAAAATAAATAAAAAAAATTAAAAAATTAAAAAATCAAAAAATTAAAAAAAAAAAGGTCGTGTGTCATAATATAGCACTTCTCCATATTCGCTCCTCTATTTTCGTTGTCGGCTCGCCCAGATTGACCGTTGTATTAGGTTTAGTGCTCAGTCAGGCACACCGAAATTGTGGTCAAACGGACCCGGCCCCACCACCGAAAACGAACGACGGGCGCGAGCTAATCACGCTCAAGCGTTGACAGGGCAAAAAAGCAATGGTTGGGAACCAAATCCGCGGGAGTTTGAATCAAATGTTCCCAAACCAATTCAAATCTTTCGGGTGAAGAATGCCTCAAAGAGCCTGTTTGCAAGTTTTGGACCATGATCGTTTACCCTGATGTCTCATGGTCTATGTATTTGCCCACGGGTCCTGGCAGAGCCCGCTCTCTGTAGCAGACTGGAAATAAGTCCGTCCATCCTCCGTACAGGTACCCGGTCACTTTACGGAGTACATGGCTTCGTATCTGTTGTACCGCATGAGAACGCAATTGTCATTGTGATTGCTGGATACACGCCTCCCCTGGTCGGCCTGGTTGGCCCAAGGGCCCTTTACTACCCCAAAATAATTACTGTTAGTGGCTTGTTGCTTCATTATCATTGGTGCGTTTGATTCCAGTCCTTTTGGCTTCCGGGCCTTGAACAAGATTGGGTTGTTTGGGCTGCGCAACTCGAACCTTAGCCCACTCCCCAACTGACAAGGGTCACTTTCGCTAAATCACATTAGACCTGGGAGCTCTGTCCTCTCCCCTAAGGAATTGTCATCCTCTGTTGTGTCCCACACTCCATTTTTGGAGATTAAAATTTTTTAATCGGGTCCTTATTATTGGTTACGGACCACAGGCCAGTTCCAAAACTGTATTGCGCCAACAAAGTTCTCTTTGAGTTGCCGCAATCATTCTCTCTACAATGGCTGGATGAGCTAACCTCAGAGCAGTTTGGCTCCTTTTTGGGGCCAGATAATAAATCTGCCTTTCATGAGTTAATGATCGACATGAAAGGCCCTGTTTCTCTCCCCCAGACAAACCCTATTGTTCCAGGCACTTGGTGTGGATTTTGTCTTTCGGTGTCACTGCGCTTAAACCCAAGCTGCGGGACATCTTGGAGAACTCTTGTATATTAAGTGATCTGTGCCATTGCTTGGAATCATATACATAGGTACATCCTCCCACCAAACGATTCATCCAATCTTTATGCTTAATTTCAGACATCCACCTGCCCCAGCAAGAGCATTAGCTAGCCGCACCGATCTTTAATATTCCTTTTTCATTCCTTGATATATCCCTTTCTCTACTGACTTTCCTCCGAGGTTTTCTTCCGACCCTCTGGAATACAATCGAGTTTTGCTTTGACTCGTTACCCAGGCATAAATCGAACAGCACGCCGATCGTTCAATACTGCTCCTGCACGAGATCCGCCAGCTAAACATTATACAACATTTCGAAAGACGGACAAGAGTTGAGGAAACTTGCAGGAGGGAAAAAGAAAAGCGAAGTAAAACGAACGAAAAGAAAGTCACGAGTTACACAACCGATTTTATCTGGCTTCCACGCGCATCGACTCTATATCGGAACACATCTCTGAGCATCCTACCTACTTATTCCTTTTCCTACCTACCGGTGATTTCGACGGCCCTAGCTCTTTCATCAGTGCCATCTCAAATACATTGACATGGAAACAGCGGTTCCAGTCACATATGGCTTTGGCAACCATGACTTGACGGGGGTACCCCATCGTCGGATGATGGCGCCACCACAGGATCATGGCATGACATATTATTCAAATCAACCGATCCCCTACGCGGCATCCTTACACTCATCTTCCTACGGATTCGGACATATCTTGAACACCAGCCATGCCTCTTATCAAAGTTTCTATGGATCTGCACCTCCAACGAGTTCACAGAACAGCCGGCTGCCGGAATCAGCACCAGTTCAATCGTTGCCAAACGCTGGCCCGCCTAGAAATGGCTTGCCCAGACTAACGGAAACAAGTCCGGCGAAAGCCGCTTCGGAACAGCCGTCCCGCTTGCCTCATCTTCCTTCCAAGCCGGAAGAACCATCTGACTCAAAAGTCCGCTTGAAGCCCGAAATCGAGTTCTCGACAGAGGTTGATACTTTAATGAAAACTATACAAGCAAAGCCGAAACTCGTCCAGCCGCAACTGCCTCCTCTGCATCAATTTACAAACGGTGTACCAGGCTGGTCGCACCCAGCCTACGGAGGATCAGCGCCTGGTGGTCAGGGGCTCTTCACTTCACAACCGGATAGATCCTTGACTACGAAACAGAAACCAAGAAGGAAATACGAATGCAATCTACCTCATTGCAGGAAAAGCTTCTACCAGAAGACTCATCTGGATATTCATATGCGGGCGCATACCGGGGACAAGCCATTTGTACGTTTTGATTCTTATTCTTTGTTGGTCTTGCTAATGCTAAGTTTGGCTCGTCTATATCAAAGGTTTGTAGAGAGCCTGCTTGTGGTCAGCGGTTTTCTCAGCTGGGAAACTTAAAGGTAAGCCAACCATTTCCACGAGACACGCTCGAGGATTTGTTACCAATGCTGATTTTGTAGACGCATGAGCGACGGCACACTGGAGAAAAGCCATACTCTTGCGAAATATGTAATAAAAGATTCGCACAACGTGGGAATGTCCGAGCGCACAAAATCACACATGAGAAGGCAAAGCCATTTATCTGCAGGTTGGATGATTGTGGGAAGCAATTCACACAACTGGGTAACCTTAAGGTTAGTCTGCTCGATCGCTTTTTTTGATCTTTCTAATTGTCGGCTAAACTGGATATAGTCGCACCAGAACAAGTTCCATGCGCAGACTCTTCGGGACTTGACTTTCCGATTTTCTTCTTTAACCGACACCGAACGCCTAGCGCCACAGGACATTGAATTATGGGAATATTTCGCAACTCTATATAAAAATAGCAATAAAGGAATTAAAGGGCGTGGGAAGGACCGACGAGTGTCATCAAGTGCGAAACTTCGAGCTACTACAAGCACTACAAACGTTGACGAAATGAGCACGACAACGGTATCTAGTGTGGAGGACGATAAGGGTCGAATGAATATTTTCCATCGACCCTCTTACATGAGTACGCCGAGTAGCGAAGATGTCGATTTTCATGAGCAAATGTATTCACGAGGCCCGCAGTAGGAATGACTCGCTTCACGGAGATAAATCTGGGACGATGACGACGATATCCGGGAATGGTTGGAATTTTGAATTAATACTTAGCACTCATGCAGGCGCACAATACCCATGAGAAGGATTTGAATGGCGTATATATATGAGGAGGAATTTTTTGGGCAAAAAGCGATCATCAGAAATGTTAGAAAATTCGTGGAACGAAGGGGCGTTTTACCACTACAGTTCACATATATCTTTAGGGCATACTGGCATTAGCGAAAAGGGCACTTTGAATGACCAGAAACTAACTACTCTCTGCAGTGGTCATTCGGCCCCTTTCTGCTCACATTCGTGCTTTACCAACTTTTGAGCCAACTGGTTTCTTGCATCTCTGGGCGAAAGTTGATGTAAAGTCGAACATTGTTTCTCTATTTTGGGCTGAGATTCCAAATGCATTATCATTCATGTATCTACATATCAAGTTTATTTGTGTCGAGTTTAGCTACTGGTAAAAAGGATAGCATTAAAGCGAGTTGTATTACTACTCTTGCGGGATCGAAATGATCATTGGAGACATCCACGCGGAATGCCAAACCGATAAGAAGTCACCACATATCATCAGCCACCATTTGAGACGCACGTTTCTTGTTAAACGGCCCAGAATACTCGCACGCTCATTCCTTCAACATGATTCATCCATCCTGGGAATCTCGCCCTCGCCCATACGGATAGTTCGTCGCCAATCTCCATTGCTCTTACCATTTGCCCACTAGTCGTTCCCGGGCCCCGACCCTGCTTCGCGCCAATCTCCTTTGCCTCATCGGAATTAGGATCCAGAGCATCGCGATAATGCCAGGAGATACGACGGGTTTGGGCCTGACGGACGGCCACCTTATTGCAGCACAAAGTTTCCTTTGAAGGCAAGAAATTTGCCGATACTTCGAAGCGGGGCCGCTGTTCCTCGTAATATTGTTGGTATTGAGCTACGAGGTCTGCAGGCTGATGTTGATTATCATCAGAGAGTGGGTGGAAGGCAGGGATTCGATATGCATCGAACCAACTGTAGGAGCCTTCATAGGCGGATCGGGTGCCATGGCTTCCGCCCCAGCCTTGGTCGTGCGCGGTCAGGGTGAACACTATTTTACGGCAGGGGTGGACTGTGCGATGCGGGAGAATGCGGGGTTTGATGGCGGGGCTGGAGGACTGTAACGGGATGTTAGAAGAGGGATTTCATGCATGGAGGGCTGCTGGCTTGAGTGCGGAGAGGGGAGAGTCATGGGAGAGAACCGGGCAGCACGAAGGCTTCGTAATAGAGGCTGGATATTGGCCGGAAAATAGCAACAAGGACGCCGGCAATTATCCGGGTATCAAATACACGTTGCAGACAACGATTATTTTCTTTTTCTGCTCCTATTTCGTTTCTTTTTCGTCGTTCTTTTTCCTTTTTCCGGAATGGGAAAAGAAAATATGAAGCTAACCTACCGCGTAGCACAGTCCTCCCGTTCTCAAAATTTCTGCGTCTTGGTCCTGCCTGATTACCCTTTTTCCCTCGATCTTCGTCTCAACTGAAGGCCAGTACTCCGCGTGATCGAGAATCATATCAATGATCTCGACTGGGAGGCGTTCAGTATGGCCTGGGGTTGCAACATCACCCTTGCCTTTGCGCTCTTCTCCCTCATGTTGGCACACTTTCCTCAGTTGAAAATGTAACAAGAACTCCCGTACGCACAGCACATCATTTATGCTGGGATAATATTCTTCCTCTCCTTTCCGGTCTTGGGATTCGGACTGCGACTCCGCGCGTGACTCCGGGGTCTCCCAGCTTTCATGTGCTTGCTCCGTTTCTGGGTTAACATCATTGAGTCCTACAATGCGAGGACGGCGAAGTCTGAGCCAGGGTAACATGTTTTATTGAAACGAAGCGACCAAAATGCAGCGGCACAAAAGTAATACGGGGAATTGACCGGAACGGCTGAAGTGCAAGGCGGCGTGGTATAAAACCGACAGTCATCAAAATGTTAATCAGTTATACTATCAAAACAGGTTTAGAGCAGTTCTCTCTTCGAAACCGCTCACTTGAAAACTCGGTTTCTCCGCCTTTTATGCTGGTATTTTCTCACAGTGCGAAGGATGTCGCTGTGGATGGAGAGAGAATATGGCTGCCTTCGACGCGTGTGGTTGCAGTGCAACTGCCCTGGCATTGACCAAGACAGTGACGTCATCCCAACTTCGACAAACAAGTCAAACAAGGGGCTCGCAGAGGACTCAGTGCCGAGTACACGAAATTCTACAGCTTCTCTAATCGAGCATATCAAGCTGATATATCATAGAATTCAGATCTAGTGTCTCACCATACAACTGGTGGACATACGAACATCGCACCATTCGCGATTATATCGCCCACGAGACCAAGGCTACACCTAGGCTACGCTTTCAAAAGGGTTGACCTCGGGTTGAATCAACACAGTCCGGGAGGCTTCCCTCCATGTTGGATAGAATGTGCTTTCGTATTCGATGTAAGACATTAGTTAAGAAGAGGGATGGATGCAAAATGACACTATCTATATTTGACTCCGGCTCGGACGGGATATCGACCGTGACAACCAGGAGGTTGCGGTCACGGTTGTAGACAGTATTCCCTCATATTCTCATAAACCAAAAATGTCACCCAGGTACTGGGCAGGACTCGGAAGAGATTAGGTCCAAGTCCCTTGTAAAAGCCTGCGAGACCCTCTCGACGCCAGATTTGGGCTATCACGTCGCCGAGTCCTCGATACGTACCAGCGGCGTCATAGGTCTGGAGGCGTGCCCTCAAAACCTGGTAGGGATAAGTAACGCTTCCGGCAAATATCTTCGACAATCCAGACAAAGCCAAATAGTCTACGTTGCCAAGTTTACCGGCGCCAGAATCGGAAGTAGTTAGACCAGAGGACATCGACTGCGAACGATATCGTTTCAACTGTTCGTATGCCATAAACTGCAATGCACCGTGACCAACTCCGAACAAAGCGGGTATCATGCCACGGTAGAATCCCTTAAACCCTTCTGACCGGTATATTTCGCGGATACCATGTGTCATGGAGGGATAGGCTCCAGTTACGTTAGCACCTGTTGATAGCATACGAGTTTTGATCACCCATATGGGATTGGTCAAAACAGCAGTGAGAACTCCTTGGGACGAGTCTTGTCAGTATAAACGTGTAGGTACATATCGTACGTAAACAGAGGGTGAGTGTGAGCATACCGGCGGTGCCAGACGCAACGAAATAATCCAAAGAGTCCAACCCATTTTTCTGCGGCCCATAAAATGTATTCAATGCGTCTTTGAGATTGCGATACCACAGGAAGTATAGTCCCCAGCTCACAGAATTCCCGACAAGATTGGGAGTAAGACCACGATAAAACGCTCGGAGCCCCCCTTCGTGACGGCCGATTTCACGAATAATCCGAAGAGAATTGCCGATGCGGGAGGTAGAAAATCGATCCACTAGTAGGAGAATAGACAAATATTAGTGGACAAATGTCTTAAACCTTTGTTAATATGTGTGTTTATTTAGCTTCGTAGTTACTTACCCTGTAACCGAGTCTTGACAATGTCAAGCGGATGCACAACAAGCGTCGAGACGACGCCAGCCGTGAACCCGGCTATCGTCTCAACCAGGGATGGCGAGAGAACATTTTTGTCGCTCATGAACCCCTTTCCGTATTGTGTTCCTGAGAGCAAAAGTAATATCGCGGATGGCGAGCTTCGTTGCGTGGTTGTCAATTGACAAAATTTTTCCAACGTCGCGGACGGATTGGCATATGAACCATATAGGCATATATACCCTGTACTCCACACCGGATATCAAGCGATATAATCCCGCATATTGGTATAAAGATAGTAGGAAATTATCTTATTATACCGCCTATGGTGACTTCTACAGATTACAGAAAATTTTGCTTTTGCGCTCAATTTTGCGCTGGATTCTCGGAAGCTATGAAATTCGGCCTTAACTCCCTAGCGTAATTTGACTCTAAAGTTGAGTTAAAAGCATCACCAGCTACGTATAGGATACGCTTGAAACTGCGAGATAAATTGAGGCAAATGCTGCCTCTGAAACAGGAATCGGATTCCCGAGCTTTCGATATGAACCAAATCAACATTATTGGCATTGACTTCCCATTAAAATATCCAATCTAATGTACATATGTCCAACTCCGAGTAGATGAAAAAGCAAACGTCGAAAGGCTAGCAAAGATGCAACGGTGTGTCGCTCCGACGACGTCGTGGTGCGCATTTAACTCCCCCGATAAATCATAACAATCCTTCTTTGGTGCATCGCATTGGAATAAAACTGGTATATGCCTCGACATCGCCGGAACATCTCTATCTTTCCCCAGTTTCCCCGTGATTGTTTTTATGCGAGAGGTGAAAAGAGCCTACATTGAATGTTAGCGGGGGGTGATGTTCGACATGCGGCGCTCGCGAGAACCGTACTTGAAGAGTTGTGGTCTTGGTTCACTGTAAGTGTAGCCTGTAAAATATTAGCCATTGCACACAACATGTAGCCACCACGCGTAAGTTATTCTCACCGAGGTACATGATCAACGGGAGATATCCACTGCAAAAGGGAGGTCATTAGTCGAGGCTGCTCTTCCCGTAAAGCGATCAGATCTCGGGGCAAAACCAACTAGTGAATTGCGACTCTCGAAATGTCAATGACCTTGGTAATACGTTCCTGTAGGGAAAAAAAATTAGCATTCTATCCTAGTGATATCTGCCACCGTGGAGCCGTGTTAGCACTCGAAGCTGACCTTGGTCTCTTCCGAAAATTGAACCATTGTGAGGGATGTGAAAATGAGTGTAGGAAGAGGCTGTTTCGATAGGAGAATCAAACTTGTTCGTTATCCGGAGCAGAGTGCGAGAGATGGCCGTCAGATACGGGGTGGGCCAACAAGCAAATCAACTTTTAAAGTTCTGCCATTTTCTTCAACGGAAAGTTTGCAACGTTTGCTCACTCACCAAGCAACTTCAGCACTCAAACGTCGCAGTGGCACTGAGGAGTTCGCAACTTGAGATTGAATACTGTTAATCAGGAGCTGACATATTTTCAGTACCGCCTTACTAATTATCGTTTTCCTTGTTGTAATAATAATATTTTCATCTGCGATCTATCTGATTCGCGATGTCGGGGGCAAGGCATTGGTACAAGCTGCTACAAACAGCTCTCAGCTCAGAACTCAGGCTAATTTTTGTCATAGGGAGCAGGACAAAGAGGCGACGGTATACGTTGGAAATCTAGACGAGCGCGTGACAGACAGCCTAGTATGGGAGCTAATGCTTCAAGCCGGCCGCATTGTTAACGTCCATCTCCCGAAAGACCGAGTTACCCAAACACATCAAGGGTATGGTTTCGTCGAGTTTATCAGCGAAGAAGACGCTGAATATGCGTCGCGCATTATGAATCAGGTGCGCCTTTATGGTAAACCGATTCGAGTCAATAAGGCGTCTGCGGACAAACTGAAGGCCATTGAAGTCGGCGCGGAGCTTTTCGTCGGGAATTTGGACCCGATGGTTACAGAGCAGGTTTTATACGATACTTTTAGCAGATTTGGGCCTTTAATATCAATGCCAAAGGTGAGTCTAATGCCTTGGCATGATTTGTCACTAGATGAATGCTAAAGTTGAGCTACAGGTCGCTCGGGATGATGCAAATCTCTCAAAGGGCTACGGATTCGTTTCGTTCGCTAATTTCGAGGCGTCCGACGATGCTATTGCTAATATGAACGGACAATATCTTATGAACAAGGAGATATCTGTTCAGTATGCTTACAAGAAAGATGGAAAGGGAGAGCGACACGGAGACCAAGCAGAGAGAATGCTCGCCGCCCAAGCCCGCAAGCACAATGTCCAGCCACAAACTCAAGTTTTACCACCCCACGTACCAGGCGGGCATGCACCGCCGATGGCTCCTACACCAGCTGTGAATGGAGATATAAGCCGCCCCGTCAGCACAGGCCCGCCAGATTTTGGAGCTGGGAGAGGCGTTCCTGTGCCCAATGCGCCATATGGGAATATGCCGCCTCAACCACCTCACCGGCCCGCCCCTCCACCACAACCCCTTACGGCACCATTAGGCACGCCGCCTGCTGGGCTACCCGCTCGGCCTCCACCGTCTCAAGCCGGCTATGGCGGGCCATCTCCAGGTTTTGCTCCACCTCGGGGGTTTGGCCAGCCTGCTCCGCCTCCTGGGTTTGGCGCTCCTCCAGTTGGTACACATGGTCCTCCGCCGGGACAATTACCACCGGGATTCCAGCAACCAGGGTATGGAAGGGGTCGATGAGAGGCTCAGCGATGATTCACAGCATAAGTGTAAACATTTTAAGGTCATATCGAACGTCTAATGGGGAGCGATATCTGCCGCCTGCCGCCGAACCTTCAGCGCCTCATTTCGCGGTTGAATTTGCGATTAAATCGAGCATACGGAGTATGCAGCCATGAGACAAGTCTGTTTTGCCACGTTGGAAGCGAAGCGTATTGCGCGAGATGAATGAATCCACGGTATCTCCATTAGCAAGTAGGTTCAAATACGCTGCAACATGTGATGTAGACTAATATAATTAAAGGAGATCGCGAGGGGAAATTGGATGATATAACAAAACATTTCGGGCGACTGGATTTGAGAACTAGCGCGGTCTCGGCGCAAAACGCTGCAAAGAGATTGTGACAATAGGAAATATACGAGGGATGCATATCTCATTAGTGTGAGGAGATATAGAGGCGCTCTCGAATCGCAAACCAAGGATGAATCAAAGTGCAAAAGCAGCGCTTCACCATTTCCTCTTCAGATGCTATAACCCGACCCAGGCCAAACCATGTAGTGCACGCCGCCTTCCTCTCTCCCAATCCGTTAAATTGATATTTCAAATAGCGAGAGACATCGTAGATCCCTCATCACGAAAATGAAACAAACTTGGGATCTCTAGGCATGCCATCTGGTCCAATATTATTTTTCGCGAACCGTCGCTCCATATAGATCTTTCGAGCCTCGTTGAAATCTACCCGTCTACTTTTCATAATTTTCAGAACTTCTCGTTTACCGCGCTCGTCTAGGCCGCCACGGTCATCGCCTGCTTCTATGTTTGACGCAAGGCTAAAATCGGCGGAGGAAAGTCCTAATTCGGCATCGCCATGGAACGTCGTTGGAAGGCGTTGGTAGAAATAGTCTGGGACGGGCAGAAGAGGAAGCCACCGGTTACGAGTAAAATAGAGAACTACTGTCACGATTAGCGATCGAAAAGCTGGTAGAGGCGTAGCGGTGACGGTTATTTAGGCACATACCTGTTCCAAGAATGAGGACGAAAAGGGTCAGGGAGTATAAGAGATAGGCCATTATGACGGGGAGCTAGGTCTGAGAAACTTAACCTCCGCGAGTAACAAGGCAGCCCGAAATTATATAACGCTTCGAAAGGAAATGGACAAGTGAATGAATGCGACTCTCCCAGGGAGGGACAGGGTCAGAATCAGGAACTAAATGAAAAAGCAGAACGAGCGGAAGGAGAGTTCAAAAAATAGTTATTAATGATCCTCCGAGTCCAGCTCACTCCATGAGCTAGTCATAATGCTGGGTGAGGTATGGACGGGGTATTCATTCGAAGTTCTTCGCAGGCAAAGCTGGGAACGGCCTATGGCTCTGATGACGATGCTGGCTTCCGATATCCGCCGCAGCGATGTTTATCCGATTCCGCGCCTCTGTGTTAGGTAATCCAACTAGCACCTCGCTCACGTGACCCACATAGATTAGCCGAGATTCCCCTTTAGGTAGCTTAGCGAATGACAAGCATACAAGTCCTCCATCAGGTTATAGCCCTTTGCACTGAAGAGCAAGCATATAAGATTGATTTACAGCTCAATTGGATATTGAAGCTTACAATCAACACCCTGAACAGTTATCCTTATAGATAATGAGGTTTTACAAGCACTAAAGAGAGCATACATCAAAGTAGACACCTCCTATATGTGCAAACCCCTGTAGCTTTCTGGCACCCAACCAGAGAGTGAGCAAAATGCCTGCTAAATGCACCTAGCAAGCAAATTGAGCACCTGGCAACACCAAAGCCATGGTGAACCATACAGACAAACCAGAGCACTGAACCCCTGACCAGGAGGCTCTGATAAACCTCCCTACACCCCAAACCAAGCTTAGGCAGTCAAGTAGGCTCAGAGGTGACCAGCCAAATGACAAGCAGAAGCATAGGGAGGAGAGTGAACTTCAAATATTGCACAGAATGATGCTGCAACAACAGGAGACAGTGCAACAGCTAGTACAGCAAGTGAGTCTCTTATCAGGTCAAGCAAACACACCTGCAACAGTGCATGAGAACCTGGAGCTAGAAGCTCAACAAGAAGAGGACCAAGAAATAGACTCTGAGGACAAACTAGAAGAATTTGTCAGCAACCTTATAGACATGAATACATGAACCAGCAGAGCAATCAATCAATTCATAAAGATCTCAAAAATAGTAAAGAAGCCTATGACCCTGGCTGGAGCCAGCAACTACCTAGCATGAAGCAAAGCCATTCTAAAGATAGCTCATCAAGTGAATACTGAGAAGATTATCCTGGAAAGACAAGAGATCTCACTACAGCCAGAGAACTTGAAGATTTCACAATACTAGAATATTCAAAATAAATGACTATATAGCCTAATTAACAGTACAATATCTGCACAAGCCAGAGAACACTTCAAGAAATCAGATAGTCTTAGTGCTTACAAACTCTGGGAAGCTGTAAGAACAGTCTTTCAAGAGAGATCTGAGATACAGCAGGAAAGCCTATTGACAGAGTTAGTGAGAATGACATTACAGTTCACTGGCTTAGAAAGAAATTATATAGAGAGATTTCTAGCAATCTGTGAAAAATTTAAGAGATTAGAGTTCAAGCAACTGGACCACACTCTACATGATATTTTGAAGATGAACATTATGTCTTGATGAAGAGAGTTCATACAGAACTGATTTGATATAGCATGCCAGAGTAAAACAAACCTACCAGAGAAGAATTTGGAAGACCTATTAAAGGATATTCTCCACCAAATCCTCAAGAAAGGCCAGCAGAAAGATAATAAATCTACAAGACCAAATACTGTAGTGGGGATTCCAGTATCATATTAGGACAAAGGTTGTTCTGGTCTGAGGCACAAAACTCCTCCAGCTACTATCTCTGAGCTATATAAATCACTCATAGCTCCTGCATCTCACTCAATATCTTCATGCACCTTTGTACTTTTCTACACACTCATTCTTTATTGCTAGTTTGGTTATTAGTTAGAGAATATAAAGATCTCTTGTTCATGAAGCTTGCTACTGTTTCTTATTAGAGCTGCCTGTATTAGTACAGGCTCTTTAGTACTATTATTTCTTATGAGCTTAGACATCCATTAAGGCATGCTTCTCTGTTCTTACTACTTGATCATTACCATTCTTACTATGTTGTGATTTTTCATTCTTCTTGTGCTCTCACCATCTCAACCAACTCATCTACTTTGATGAGGCATCCCATCATACCCCACTTTATTTGGTGACCAAGCTGAGACCTGAAGATAATGATGCAGTAATTTGATGGCTGCCAAGAAAGAAAAACAAATTCTGAGACACATGAAGCAATACACTATTTCAAGATAAGATCTTATGAACTAGAAATACAGTACTAATCAGGTTTTTGTTTAGAAATAAGGTTAAGGAGCTTAGATTTGAATGGCTCTTATCTAAAGCTTGCCTGATAAATAGATTTTTTGAAAAGATATTGAATTATTAAGAAACAACAGAACATACTGTGTGACATGATTAAAGATCAAGAAATCAAGAAATCAGAATCAGAATCAACTGTAGTTGAAGATACTACAGAATTGTACACAACTATATCACAAGATGAGAACAGGAGAATTATGGTTCACTTTCACATTTCTATATCTTCCCCTGGCACAGCAAATGCATCTTGATTTGATGGCAGAGATGCTATCTTGTTTATTGAAAGATTTTATCAAATATGCAAAAATCATGGAGTAATTAACTCTAAGAACATTATCAAATAGTTGGCTAGATACTGTATTACATGAATTGGAGAATGAATGAAGACCTTAGAAGACTACAAGAAAGATAATTGAGAAGTATTCTCTAAAGAGATTATTCATGAATTTCATGATCAGAACATTACTTACAAGATTTACTGTCAGAATTATCTTCAAGCAATTACAAAGAAACTGTATGATTGGGATAGCAACATTCACACCTATATTCAAGAATACACTACTATCACCAGTACAGTACAAGCCAATGAAAGACTTGATGAATTTACTAAGATATCTTGGTTCCTTCAGGAGCTGCCTGAGAAGCTCCAGAATAAGATTATTAACAAGACAAAGCTCAATCTTTCAGACAATATGTTATCTATTGATTTTAGAAAGGTTGTTCAAGTGACCATAGATTTAATTAATCAGTATGAAGAGAATAAGAAGATCTTTAAAGAAGATAAAATAAAGCAGAAAGAAATGAAGAAGCTTGATGAGTAATATCAATTAGTTAACAAATTCTCTACAGTTGAGACTCTGAAGAAAACAGCTAGTGAAGCAGGGTATGATGAGATGCCTCATTAAAGTAGATGAGTTGGTTGAGATGGTGAGAGTGCAAGAAGGATGAAAAATCACAACATAGTAAGGATGGTAATGGCTGAGTAGTAAGAACAGAGAAGCATGCCTTAACAGACACCTAAGCTCATAAGAAATAATAGTACTAAAGAGCCTGTACTAATACAGACAGCTCTAATAAGAAACAGTGGCAAGCTTCATAAACAAGAGATCTTTATATTCTCTAACTAATAACCAAACTAGCAATAAAGAATGAGTGTGTGGAAAAGTACAAAGGTGCATGAAGGTATTGAGTGAGATGCAGGGGCTATGGGTGGTTTATATAGCTCAGAGATAGTAGCTGGAGGGGTTTTGCACCTCAGACTGGAACAATCTTTATTCTAATATGGTACTGGAATCCCCACTACATTTCCTCCTGGCTTTTACTGTTGGCATCCCCTGACAACAGGCAACATATGAAATAAAATAAAGGCAATTTAGTAAAGAAAATAAGAGACTAAGAATTAGTAACAATCTGGTAAGAAAAGAGATAGGAAATAAGAATAAAGAGAGTGACAGCAGCAATCCCTAATAGTGATCACCATGATTCTCTTCTTCCATCAAGTTCTTGGGAGGAGGGGAAGACTGAACTGATGCTGGATTAATGTTATTGTGCATGCAATGCCAATAGAATTTGTTACCAAAAGCTTTCTTTTCAATTTGGTATGTCTTGACAATAGCATCCAAAGCAATTTGCATGGCCTTTAGGCATCAGTTATTAATGAAGTCCTGAGCCTTCTTCTCTTCTGGTCCAAAGAGAGTATTGAGCTCCTCAATCACTATAGAGTTGTCCCATCTAATTCAGTCTACCAAGGCATCTGATATAGCTTCTAAGCCTTGCAATTGAATAGCAGTAGAGAATCAATATGGAACTGATGTGTAATGATTTGAATGGCTGGAAGGTAATGATGGCCCTGGAACTAGATTTCTATGTGCAGTGGAGAGCTGTAACCAGGTACCAGCTTTATTGACTTCAAGATGTTCATGATCCTTCTGGATTGCCACATACCAGGGTAGCATAGTACACCAGATCTTTTTGCATGGACTGTGAGCTCCATAGGGCAGCAGAGGGCTTGTAATTCAGACATTGCCAGGTTTACAAATGATGTTGATTCACCTAATATCAAATTTTCTTTTATTGTCTTTGGTATACATTGTATTCTTAATGCAGTGAATATAGTCATTGGTGGATAAGCCTTGTTCTTTAACTAGTCCCCACCAATTCTCTAGATGATTATGTATTCCTGACAAGATTTCTGTGCAGTTGCTGGGCTCTTCTGCTGTTAAGATCAAGAATCCTTGTATCATGTTAACACCCCTTCCAGTAGTAATAGCATCTGGAATGTTGACATTGATATAGCAAAATCCAGTTTTATCCCCTGGCTTAGCATACTTGATATAATATGAATAGGAGATTAATTTCCAAGCATGGTCAGGTCTTGTCAGCACATACTATAGATAGTATGCAGGGTCCTGGTGCATGAGTTATTGGCCAATACTGTGGTACATTGTTCTCAACCATCTGTAATTGTCATGATCTCCCATCATTCACTAATGATGGTAGTATATATCATATTCACCATTAACCTGAGTGAGTACTGTGGTGATGGTGCCTTGTAATCTATTGTTCCACCAGCACATTAGCTGGAGAATAATGACAGATCCAGTGATCTCCCATTTCTTCTGAAGATTGCTGGTGGTGAACTTGTTAACTCCAGTGATCTGTGTGTATCAGTTAAAGTTGAATGTTCTCATGTTTGTGACCAGAGAGATAATTGGCTGATGTTTGAATTTGTAAATGCCTAAAGCATCTTCAGCTCTAGCCAGTCTATTTGCCAAATGGAACCAGAGGTAGATGCTGTCATTGATCTTGACTGAGCCAATGTTGCAACAATTCCTATGAATGTGAGCCAAATGGTTGAGAAGCTCCTCCCTATTAAGTGTGTGAGTCTGCAACCCAAGTTTTGAAGCTATTAGTTTTGCATGGTTATAGCATAGATAGATATCAGCTTTCTTATCACTAAATGCCTTTCCTAATTGCTCCAGAATGCAAATAAGCTCCAATTCTGAATGTGTTTTAATACTCTTTATCTTTTGCAGGAGTTGCTGTTCAAATCCACAGCAATAGCAAGTACCAGAGTGTACTGCCATGACAGATTCTTTGTGCTTGTGTCAAGGTATCTCTTTATCACTTTCAGGAGAAATAACAGACTTGTCATCATTATCTAAGTCTTGGAGGGTTTGGTGTGCCAACATGGCTGCAATTCTTTCACTGCAGTGCTTTGGAGCTTCTGATTGGCTGGATGGATTGGCCAGCATGCTGGTGAATCCAAATGATGGCTGTGATTAGCCAGTTTCAAATCCACGCAATCTAATCAACATTGTACTATGTATAGAGGCTCCTGACACATTGCAGCTATGTGGCATAGACATTCCACTCATTGGAATGTCTCTTAGTGATCTTGGAGACTGCAGTCCTTCCAGTAGACCTCAGGGACTGCTTGCAGTAGGAGGGCTTCTAGTGATATTCTGAATTAAACATTGGGAGCTAGATGACTGTGGAAGAGCCAATGGCTGTAGAAGACTATAGTTGCCAATGATAAGGCTCTGTCAGTATAGGGCATCTCTTGAAGGAAGTTTGCATATGCAGTCAACTTCTTTATTAGCTGTAGTATAATTGTCTGGCAATATAGCTAAGCTCCAGCAATGTCCAGCCTCTGTAGCATCTAGTCTTCAGAGCACTGTGCTGTTAATATTATTGGTGAACTTATCCCAATTCTTGTAAACATTTAGAGTATGGTGAAGCTTTTATGCTGTTCACAGGCTCTCCACTTTTGACCATATAGCATCAATTCTGTTAATACCTCATGTAGCAACAAGTCTATCCTTGATCTTTTGTATATCAATGTGATATCATTTGACATCCAGGGTAATCTTTTGAGCATCATGGAAATTGGCTTCAAAATTAGCATATGTAATGTGTTGCCAAGCTCTGGATCTTTCAACATATCAATAGAAATGGGCCACTAAGTCAGTAACCACATCAGTCACTTGCATCAGTGTGTTCATTAGCTTGATCTGTAGGCTGTAGCAATGGTGTGGAGCTTGATTATTGATGTATTCCATAGCTGCTGTTAGGTTATTGAAGAAATGGCCATCTAGATTGACTCCACTGTCTCTGGTAATAACCAGGCCTTGGTTTTCAGGTGCAGGGGCTAGAGGAGGCAAGTTGCTTTGTCCAGCCATTTTGAAGAATATCAGTGATCCAAAAAGAATTGCAAATGTCAGAATAACAAAATAGAAGGCAAGAAGAAGTGTTGAAAATATTGAATCTGTGAAAAGAATCAAGCTTGAATGTAAAAGACAGTAGAAGCTTCAGAAAAGAAAAATCAGTCTTTAAATATCTTCTGAAAAATTCAGAAAAAGTGAAGGCTTCTGCAAATAATAAAGAAAGAGAAACTTCTCAAATAAGCAAGCAAAAACTTCACTTTTGCAAACAAAACACAACAAATTAAACATCTTGTGGAGGTATAACAACAGCAAAGCTCCAGTCATCTGGTGTAAGGATTTGCCACAAACCCCTTACACAGACAAACAGCACCTGTGAAGGCCAGAGGCCTCAGCTCACAAGCTGCTGGGAGTTGCATGTGTCCTTGTGAGGCACTAAGTCATGTGCTCATGAGCACACATAAAAGGCTGTCACTGTGTGAATCTCTTGCTGGAAGCCAGTGGCAATCTTGTTTACAAGTCATATATAGTTGCCAGAATACAGACCTTTTATCTTGTGTACTCTTTTCCATGTATATTTCTTCTAGAAATTTATTGTCATGCTGATTCACATGTATGATTCTCACATTTTGTCACTCTTCTTTGGTGATGCCTGATAATGGTATTAATACAAAGAAGTCAACCTTCTGAAACTTGTGAATCTGGGACACCAGCTGAAAACCTACCTGAAGAACAAACCCAAGTTCATGAAGAGATAATCAATCTTGACATCTTACCTCTCTCAACTGTTAATGAAACAAGCACTGTGAACTCAGAGAGAGAGTCTACCCCAACATTAAAAGACAAAATCCAACAGCTTCACAAGGAGACCAAGCTACTAAAGAAAATGGTGAAATGGCAAGAGAAGTTGAATGCTCTCCAGAACACTTAAAAGCACTTGCAAAGTGAATCTCTTGATATGGCCATCTCCAACCCAACATCTGCAAAGCATCTGTTAATCTTGAGACCACCACAACACACAAAGTGCTATCAGACTGGAACCTACACAGAATATTGCCAGTTCACCTCAGATATTGAATTCATTCATGATGCAAGCAAACTGAATGATGAGGATACTCTTGCATATGCCCTTACAGGACTTGATTATATTGAGAAAGACCTTTGGGAGGCCCACTGCAAAGACAATCCATCAAAAAACAACTAGACTGGCCTTAAAGAATTTCTACATGTGAGGCTAGAAGACTCAGCAAACCACATGTGAAACTCTTGGCAAGCAATCTTTGGTCTTCACAAAAGTTTGGATGAAACTAATTATGTCTATCACCAACAATTTCTAGAGCTCACAACAGAGATTGGCAAAGAATTTGAAGATTCCACAAAAATAAAGAAGAACCTGTTTATATGGGGCTTGGATAAGTCCATGTGAACCAAACTGAATGAACAGCTGAAGATACCAGATGACATTAATGACATAATAGCACTGGCCACCTGGCTCCAACCAAGTGTGTCAGTAGTCTATGCAAAGAATGCCTCACATGTGAAGTCTACCAATCCAGTTGGAAGTGCTTGCAGAGGTATGAAGACCAATGACTCAAGGCCACAAATGAATAAGAGAAGTCAACTCCAGAGGCCTGCTCAGAAGATGGGAAAGAATCTTA